GCTGTTGTTGAAGCGAGGATGAGACAAGAATTGGTGGAGAACGTACTGGCGCTGCGCTCAGCACTGCTCCTGCGCCGCAGCGAACAAGCCTGTATTAGCCAATTTTCAGCCTCTTCTCTATCAATCGTTGGGGCTTCAGGTGTTAAAGCATTGGTGGAAAAGAAGCTGGCATCACTCCAAAACCCACCCCCGCTGACACGCCCCGAGTAACTTCAGTGAAGACGAAGAACCTCTTCTCTATTACAAGTATTGTTGACGAAGCGTATTTTTGCATTGCGGAAGCATACTGTTCGAGCATTGGACTACTAAAGACCCATTCATGCCGAGTGCAATTCAAAGGAGAAAGACCTAGCCGTTGATAAGTCCCTTTCGGGATGCAGCACGTATCCTACATCGTAGGGGCTTATTAGCTGCAATGTGGCCCATACGATGAGTTGCGAGGGCCAGCCGATGTTCGAGTCAGCGTTCTTGCCCTCCCACACGAGTCTGGTACCAACGCGTTGTCCACGAAGAGAAGCTTGGTTGAGCCGGACGGGAGCCGGTCCAGGACTCAGCCTGGATCGGCTCCCGTCCAGAACAGTCAAACCTTCACCCTTGGTGGACGGTACGTTGTAGGCGTGTCACTTGCCTCTGCACCCTCCACCGCCTCATATTGCTAACTAGTGAAGAAAATCAAAGTATCACAAAGTTGTTCAATGAGGTTTATATTCAGATTGAGGAACTGTTCAAAGAATCGGCTCACCCGGAAGACCAGGCAATATTGATCATGGACGGCAGCGCCTATTATGATGTGGAGGATAAGGTAACTTCACTTTCCGTACACTTTCCTCCCACTACCCCAAGGAAACAAAGTTCTCACTCAGAGACACCCGTGCCGAAGAGAAACATTCGCAGCAACAGAGACACTACTGGTAAGATATTGAGGCAAAGCGCGGGCCCGCCGCCAGGCCGCGCGAATGTCTGGTTACATGGTATCGCGCCCGAGCACTTAGATATCATATAGTTTTTTGAGGCTCGTGCCATTTGGCCGTTTTCTTTGGTCGATTACGTGCCTCGCTACTTTTCATCGAAATCAGTGCAAGCTCACGAACCCGGCTTCTTCGGCGGCCTGGCCATGTAAAACATCCGTTTAAGGCGGAATTTGGTATCATTTGTCGTCAATTTGGCGTGCGACTGCCAAAAATTCACTACTGGTGGCAGTTCGGAGGTCCAACCACACAAATTCTCGACACCGAAGCAATGTACAGCTCTCTGAGAAAAAGGTCCCTCTCTCCCGAGGCTCAGATCCGCCGACGATGACTGCTAAGGAAGGAAAGGAGAAGGACGCGAAAAGAAATCTCCTAGGTCGTCTGCTTTGTTGGTATGTGCCTGAAGGTAGGGATTACCCCTCGTCCGCCTGTAGCTCCAGTAGAGTGCCAAGTGACCTGTTCAAGAGTGTGTAATGTCGTTCTCGTGCTTCGATCACTATAAAAAGCATTCACAATGACAACATAGCATTATGAAGTACGACTTCCCACCCCCTCCCCCCTGCCTCATGCTCATAGCAGTCATTTGCTAATGAAGTCCTTCTAGAAAGGTATTTGGATGCGCATTCTCTGCGAATACGGCGATCTCATCGTGATTCCGGGCAACACTTCGTTCCGTCTCACTACAACACCACAGGTGAAATAATCTTTTGTATAAATGTAGCAAATTCATTAACTCTGAAAGACACGCTGCGCGACCGGACAAATTTGCTTTTCCTCCGCGGCGAGTGGCTTGGCCCTAACCACTTTCGTTGACCTCGCCCATCGTTCTACCCGGCACTGCTAAGGGAAGACCTACTGGAGTCAGACAGGGGCAATGTTGTCAATAATACTGGGATCAGTTGCGGCTAAAATGTCGACCTCGCACCACATCAGCACTATTCGGTGATCTCGTCCGACCACACCCTCTGCTAGCCCTCTGCTCGTAAAAAAGCGGGGTTTTATCCGGTTGATTGACAACGGTCCCACTGACTTTCTTGACGTTCCGTTATCCGTGTTTATGCCGCGCAGAGAATATCTGATCGAAAGCCTTGCCTACGAGGCCAGGGAGAAAAGCACAGGTGGGACAATCAGGGCACGCCATCGTTGTGATGATCACAACGGGGGGTCGTATTTGGTCTGGAAGATTTTTTTGATAGTTGATTTCTCTTGTTTTGCGGACGCTATAAAGCAAGGGAGGGTCGTTGTTGGGAGAGGGAATGTCAAAGATCTATACAACTACTATTTTCGATAGTTGAAAATGATAGCTAAATCTGACGACCTCCTCCCCCCCGCTGACAGCAAAATTGGGGAAAACCAGAAATTTTCGGGAAAAAATGGAAAAAGTGGTAGGAAGTTGGGAAAATCTAGGAAAGTGGTAGGTAGCATGGGGAGGGGGTCGTATTTGAGGATGGAATTAGGGGGGGTATTTTTCAGGAAATGGATCACAGCGGAATTGGGGCAAGGGAGAAGCCAATCCAGCTGTATATGCCATGAAGTACGGTTTGCTGCACCAGCACGTTGAAGATGACTGTGCCATGATGGATTTGCCCTCGTAGATTGACGATTGCTTCAGATCTCCGTAGCTTGCCTTGCGTGCGGATGATTGAGGAGCAGCTTCTTTCATCGCAGCTTGTTTTCCCAAGCCCACCGCTATCTAGAGCTAAGTTTTGAAGGCACTCCCGACTCACTTCCTTCATTCAATACCGTAGCTGCCCGCTCCTGGAGAGCTTAGGCGTCGCGATGGAAGATTGTCTAATGACTGTAGCACTCGTCCTTGTTAGCAAGCTTACCTTAAACTTTCGGTGACGGCCAGCTGGCCATGCTGACCAGCGAATGATAGAAATATAGTTTAAGGAAGCGCTTGAAGGGTCGGTGCTGAAGGTAGCGGATAACATTCTTGTCCATAATGCAGAATAAGGATGAGCAGGAGCCGAGCCAGTGACACTAATAGAAAGATCAATCCTTAATGTATAAATGCCCGTCGCATACCCACTTAACGAGCTATTCAGGTAATAGGTGAATACTTGGGCCGGTTCAAAAAGTATGAACAGACCGAATTTTCCCTTCAGCTAACGACTACTCGGTCATCCGGGCAGTTGGATTAGCGAGCGGCCCGTCACACAGGGCACGACAGCGGTGCCAGCGAACTATTCTGCTTTCCCAAGCTTAATCTTAGTCATTTTTTCCACCTTGTGAAGATAAGGAGCTGCTAATCTGGGAAAAAGTAGCCAAAACAGTGAAAAGTTGGAAAAAATGACTAAATTAGCCTGGAAAAGCAAATAGTTCCTGGCCGCGTGCGGCCCGATTGTTGAACGCCTAATCAAAATGCCCGGATTAGAGGGTAATATGATGCAGGCCTGAGTCAGCTCAAGGCAGGAACAGAATAGTCGGCTTCCAGTCTTGGTAAATAACGGCGCTCGAGGACTGTAACTGTTGGATTCCTCCGCGGAACACCACGTTGATACACTTCTTCGCCAACCATATGGCACACTTATTTTGTCCCGGTAGCGTAGAATAGCTGTCGCTGTCTTTGCTTTCTGAAATTGATCGCTCCCCGTTTTAGTAGTTCACCCAGAGCAGCAGCCTTTTGTGCAAGTCCCCAAGTCGAAAGCCCATCAAACTTCAACAGAGTTCAGAAGAGGCCTTAGTCTCCGATTTATGGTCAGGCATTATGGTCAGGAACAATTTCCTCTATGAAATCAAAATTCAATTTCCTCACTCTGTCCATTTTGATGAGCAATTCTCGGGGCTGTTCAGCTCAGGAAAGGGGAGGGGGGAATCAATGAGTCCCACTTTGGAGAATCTGTTAACCATTGAAAGAGACAAATCGGTAGAGAAGCCACTTCAGTGACAGGTATTTACAGGTTACAAGGTGGCCCGCATAAGTTTTGCAGAGCACCATTCAGTGCCCCCACCGAGCCGGACTGCTCCTAAAGCTCTACTCGCCTAAAAAGCTTTGTCACATGCTTGCCTCTTACGGCTAAAACAGAGACAAAAGGACCGCTAAACCTGAAGGTACTTCAATGGGGCAAAACCTGTATCGGTGACGCTAGCGACATGTGCTATGTGGTCAAAACAGGACCACATAGGAGATGTCGCGAGCGTCCACGATACCTGTAATGCCGCCTAAGTCAGAAATTACTGACCGTTCGAGTACAGTGTGTCCTTTGAATCCACGCAAGTGTCTTAAGATTCCTAACTTTCAGAATTTTGTGAAGATGCGCAGGTACTACAAGACCAGCAATGAATAGAGTATCATCTCTTCCAAGATGGCCGCTCATCCGAATATGGAATGTATGTTCATAAATAACCGTCATTTTGCAAAAATTCGTATGTATTCATAATAAAAATCTGTATATAGGAGACTCAGAGTGTTCAAAACCAATTTAAAGTACGTATAATTGCAATCGGATAACTGTAACCCAAATTTTACTATCGAAGTCTTTCACAGGTTATTGGCGCCGAGAATCGTGCCGAGTAAGTGATTTGTAAGCTCAAAGGTAAGCTTGTAGTGGTATTAACAGAGGACATCATTGGTTGGGGATTTTAGTCGAGTCCGTACGACCCCCCCCTTTCTTTTGGGGGTTGGTACGACCCCCCCCTTCCAGCCCTCTGCCTTTCCTCATCGAATCGAGCCGTCAAGCGAAGGGGGGGGGGG